CTAGTAAGAAGTAGCCCTACTCTATTAACCTACTAGCCTACTATAACTATAACTACTACTACTACTACTGCTATAAGCATAAGTACTAGCTATTATCCCTAACCCTATAGGTAATAATAGCTATCTATATCCCTCTCTAGCCTACTAGCATCTAGGGGCCCTACTATAACCTTACTAAGGTCTTCTACCTCTATTAGGCTACTATAGTATTATCTAACCCAGACCCTACCTCCTCATACCTTAACTATAATAAGGCTAGTAATAGTAATAAGGATAAAAATAAGGATAATAATAAGGATAATAATAATTACTACCTAAAGAGGTTGGCTTCTAAGAATATTATCTCTAAGGAGGCCATCTCCACAGACTAGGATAGTAATAATAAGGGGGATGATTTTAATATATCTAGTATATTAAATAAGGCAGACTTCTTTATAGACCTAGACCCTAATAAGCTACTACAGGGGTCTAAGAAGCCTAATAAGGAGGGGTCTAATCCTAGCTAGGGGGAGCCTACTCTTAAGTATACCTACCCTAGCCAGCCCCTAGCCCTCCTAGTAGCTGCAGAGGCCTAGCTTACTAAGATACTCCTCTCCCTCTATATTAGCTACCTAATAATATAGGCTATCTACTAGTAAGATAATAAGTTCTACTCCTCCCTAGTGGCCTTTATTATAGTACTAGGGATCCAGCCCTAGGGCCTAAGTATCTATAAGCCCTACTACTATATTATAAAGCTTATTAATATTACCTAGGTAGCCTAGATACTTCTACTAGAGTATATACTCCTAGTTCACACCTACTAGTAGGTTAGTAATATCCTAAGCGAGGAGATATACCCCTTCTATACCTAATAGGCCTAGGCTATCTAGGTAATCTATAGCACCCAGGGCACCTTCTTCCTACTAAATAAAATCCTTACTATGCTAGTAGTAGGCCTAAGTATTATCTACTATAAGCTATGCCCTAGTACTATCTAGTAGTCTTATAACCTATAGACCATCTAGTACCTATAGCTAACTGATTAGGGGCTGCATCTTACCTAACTATATATATAGGTATAGTAGGTTATCTAGTCTGCTACTACTATACTTAAGCAGGACCTTCTTCTTAGCTACTAGTTCTCTACCTATATATAGGTCTTTATAGATACCCTAGCTAAGTAGGAATCTAGCTTCTCCTTCCCTAAGCTTTAGGTAAACTAGCTTAAGATTACTAGGGGCCCTATTATATACTAGGTAGAGGCCCTACCTAAGGGGGTAGCCCTACTATACTACTATAGGTAGTAGGACCCCCCTATAATCCAGCAGTATCTATAGTCTATATAGGCCTTTCTCTAGTAGCTAATACTAGCTATCTAACTTACCTAGGGCTAGCCTAGCTATAGTAGTAAGCTTATAATAGTAAAGTAGTAGAATAGTATAGTAGCCCTATAGAACCTCTATATCTATAAGAGGGAGATAATAATTATTATCTACTACTATAAGTCCTCTACCTATATAGGGTAGTATTATATTATAGCCTAGTTCCTATCTTTATTTATTAGCTAGCTAGTGCTCCTATACCTACTATATATATACCCCTTTATATAGTACCTCCTAGGTATTATCTATAAATATAGTACCTAGTGCTATAAGTATATAAGGTAGGAGGTATAGAACCCCTCCCCTAGCTAGCCTAGCCTAGTAGTAGCTAGGGGTAAGTATAACCTATTTATTATACCTAGGTCCCAGCCCCTAGCCCTATAGTATACCTACTCCCTCTATAGCTAGGTACTATAGTAGAGTAGCTAGAAGTTCTTTAGGGACTTTAGCCTATAGATACTAACCTACTACTATCTTATTATTACTATTACTAAGAAGTATCTCTAGGTATAGGCTACTATAGTTAACCTCTAGTCTACTACCTAGGTAGTTAATAGTATCTTTATAGTATAGGCTAGCTATAGTAACTTAATTAACTACTAGGTCTATATAATAGAGGAAGGGCAGCTACCCCTATAGATACTACTAGAGATACTATAGCTCTACTACTATATCTTCTACTAGTAGTACTAGTTTATCCTAGCCCTGGTAGAGGGAGCTAATACTATACCTACCCCTCCCTTTAATAGAGGTAGATAACTACTATAGCTAGCTAGCCCTTAGCTAGAGCAGCTCCTGCCTGCCCTACTAGTATATCTACTATAGGACCTATTAGATAGGGCCTACCAGCACTAGATACTCCTATAGAAGTTCTTCTACTTCTATCTATAGTAGTACCTACTACTCTACCACCAGTGCTACTATAAAGTAGTATAGACCTTAACCTAGGCCTACCTCTGGGCCTATTACCCCTGTAGTACTATCCCTACTACTAAGGTTATAGTCCTAGAGAGTCTAGACCTCTATAACCTATAGGATATCTATCTTATACTTTAGATTATATAGCCTGTCCCTCCCTTCCTAGAGCTACCCTTACTAAAGGCCTGGGCCTGCCTGATCCCTAGGTATAGTATTATCTAGACCTTAAGGAAGAGAGTCCTTAACCATAGCTAGCAGGACTATAGGATAGTATAAATATAGGACTAGAAGGAAAGTATAGTACCCTATAATATATAAGCCCTTAATAGGTATAGTTATCTATTCTAGGTATATTTATATTAGGCTAGGCTAGGCTACTAGGGGAGAGGGGTATAAGATAGTTAAGGTAGTAGCTTAATAGGAGTAGTTTAAGCTCCTTATTATTAGTAAATTCATAATTTATAGCCTAAGCCTATTAAGGAGTTAGGCTGCAGTATTAATATTATTTATTATTATTATTATTAAAGAGTAGTTACTTAAGGCTAAGGCTCTATAAAGCTAAACTATAAAGCTAAATTATAAAGCTAAATTATAAAGCTACCCCTAAAGCTAAACTACTAAGCTAAAATTAGTTATATAAAGCCTAACTACTAAGCTAAGATTAGTTGCATGAAGCCTGACCACTAAGCTAAACTATAAAGCTAACTATAAAGCTAAACTATAAAGCTAAACTACTAACTTAAAGCCTAACCACTAAGCTAAAATTAGTTATATAAAGCCTAACCACTAAGCTAAACCATAAAGCTAACTATAAAGCTAAACCATAAAGCTAAACTATAAAGCTAAACTACTAACTTAAAGCCTAGTCACTAAGCTAAAGCTAAACCACTAAGCCAAACCATAAAGCTAAACCACTAACTTAAAGCCTAACTACTAAGCTAAATTAATTATGTAAAGCTAAACCATAAAGCTAAACCACTAACTTAAAGCCTAACTACTAAGCTAAATTAGTTATATAAAGCCTAACCACTAAGCTAAACTATAAAGCCTAAGGTCCTATACAGCTGCACTAGCTAGCTAAATTATGAAGCTGAAGGTCCCTATACTAACATCTATCTAAGCTAAACCAGCTAGCTAAATTATAAAGCTAAACCACTGACTTAAAGCCTAACTACTAAGCTAAATTAGTTATATAAAGCCTAACCACTAAGCTAAACTATAAAGCCTAAGGTCCTATACAGCTGCACTAGCTAGCTAAATTATAAAGCTAAAGGTCCCTATACTAACATCTATCTAAGCTAAACCAGCTAGCTAAATTATAAAGCCAAAGATGCTAATATTAATATAATAAAAGGATCTAATAGTTATCTATACTAACTATCTATACTAATAATAAACCTATAAACTAGGGGTATATCTTACTGACTACATCCCTATACCTAAGCTATAACTAATTAAATATAGGCTATATCATAGTATAGCCTGTATTATTATAAAATAGCAAGCAGTAGACTACTCTTAAGATATAGTATATATTATATCTTAAGGCTATCCTCCTACCCTAGCCTAGGGCCCAGCCCCTAAGGTAAGCAGGATTTTAGGATAAACAGATATAAGGCTACAGGAGATAGTTCTAGAAACTAAAGTCCTATATATTTAATTTATCTTAGTAGATAGATTTAGTAATAATAGGTCTTTAATTACTAAATAGATATCTAACTAAGTCTACTCCTAGCTCAGTAGGCCTCCTAAGCATCTTTAAGCTATAATAGATACCTATATAGTAGTTAAGGGATCATAGGTATATCTATTAATAGATACTTTAAATACTATATAGGTAGGGTCATAGGCATGCCTATTAATTAATACTCTAAATATCTAACTACTTAGACTACCATACTAGCTACCTAGGAGGAGGAACTACTCTAGGAAATAGTAGCTACTACTACTCCTAAAGTCAAGCCTAAATATAGTACTTTTACTATAAGGAATAGAGAGGTAGCTAGCCTGATAGGAAAGGATAGGTAATATAGGCTCCCCTAAGACACCTAGCATTAAGGATCATTACCCCTAAGGAATATAATAGGGTACCAGCCACTGCTCTTAGCTGCCATCATTGCAGGCTACATGGATGTGGCCATGCGGCTGCTCGCCTGCGGAGAGCGACTGGACATCAACACACAAACCTACCAGAAGGAATCTGCACTGTCTCTGGCTGCCCACTCCGGGCACCTACAGGTGGTTAGTGCCATTCTGGAAGACTGTCAGGCGGACCGCAATAGCATTGACAAGCAAGGGCGCACTGCTCTGTGGTGGGCGGCTCATGAAGGGCAGTCGACCATCATGAGATGGTTACTCGAGGATGCCAAGGTCCAACTCAACATCGAAGATTGCCAGGGACGGGACGCTCTAGAGGCCGCGCGGAGTCAGTATCATTTTGATGTCATACGTCTCCTACAGACTTCCCGCGCGGGTCATCACCGCGACGTCACTCTGCAAACCTAACGTGTTTGGGCCGTGATTCTTCATATTGAGCAGCGCTGCCAGTTACTGATTGGAAACAGTGAGTCGTCAGCACTAATATTGAATGCGGAGGATCAAGATGGAGCCAGCGCCTGCAGGGACAGTGCCGGACAGCTCGGGAGACATCAGCAGGGCAAATAAACGTGGAAGCATACAAAAGGGTGCAGTATCTGGTACCCAGAAGTAGTAAGAGTACCAGCCGGATGCATAGAGTCATTCGCGAACGTTTCTCATCCCTTGATCCCTTTCCTGTCTCAGACCAGCCAGGATGGGCGCCAAGTGTAAGCTATGGAACTGGAACTGGGAAGCATCAGCAGATCGCCTGGCTGCGCACCGGGAAATAGAGTCAATCTCGACCAAAATGCCAAGCCGCGATTTGAGACTTATTCGTGACCATTGGTGATACCGTTCAGTATAGGCTAATGCAGGTCTCCACGGAGTACTGTAAACACCGTTCGCGAAAGTGGCGCCATCCTACGAACTGCGCGGCATGCGGACTGTCAAAGACATCCTTTTGAACGATACTGCAACATGACCACGTACAGCCATGCTGAGGAACGACAATAATGATACTTTAATCAGGAAACGGACCGGTCCAAGAGCTGCCCGCTTCCACACTGGCGGCTTCCTTGTCGGCTGCTGGGCAATTTCGGGAGCATGGAAGAAAATACTGTGTACAGTACTATAGAAATAAACAGCCTAGAATTACAATTTAGATCTTTCAACAGTACAGGGATTGTACGAGAAAGGTCGGACATTCAGAATTGGCAAAAAGAAACACTTCAGCAGCCTATTGCAGGACTTATTGACCTGCGCGAAATTTCTTTTATATGTAGAAGCTCCCTTTCCAGCCGTTTCGTGGATATTCTGGGATTTGTGCAGCCATGCATGCGAAACACTTTCTGAAACACCTATCAAACGCTGGTTAGTCTCAGGCCTTCGTCCTCAGCATCGTATAGTATGATCGACAAGAAAATGGGCAGCATCGGGTAAAAGTAGTCTATCGCTAAATCGCGGGGATAGATACAATATCACCCGATAGCGTATCATAAATGGCACCGCCGTTATTTGTGCTGGCGTTACCGGCACTACTGGCGATATCAAGCATTGCAGTATTAAATCCACAGCACGACTGGCATTCGGGCGGGTCGAGTGGGGTGCCGCACTGCCTGCAGTCAAAATCCGGATCCTCACACACGTCCCCGAGCCCACCCTCAAAGGTATACAGCAGACATCCAACCTGGCATGAGCCACCCACCCCTCCGTTATTGCCTACGTAGAGCGTTAGTATCCTTTCTGCTTGATCAGTAGCGAGAGAGGAAGAGAGACGTACACTTGGTATAATCCTCCCTGACGAGCAAATATGCTGTAATCAGACTTGGTGAGCCAAGCGGAAACCCAAAGCTCTGCCTCTCGACTTCAGTTATACACCCCGGAATCCAGCTACAGGAGAAGTCGTAGTTGACGCCGTGGGTATCCGTCTTCCGCATCGTGATGGCCGCATCGCCCGGCCCGATCGAGTCGTCATCCCCCATCTCCCCGCGCAGATTGCTGAAATCGTTCGAGTACTCGTCCTGGTCCCCAGACTGGATATCTCCGTGGCCCGGGTAGTCCGCCTCGTCGAAGCAGGTGATCGGCCGGCGTACGAGCGGCTCCGTGGACGGATCGGGCGCGGTCGTCGTCGTTGTGGTCGTTGACCCCCCGCCGATGGTGGTTGTTGGCGCCGAGTACCCCCGCGAGCTCGGGTCCTTGGGGTCGTGGTACCCGGGTGGCGCCCCGGTGGGGGTTGGGTTACACCAGTAGCCGGAGCAGACCCTGCCCCCACACGACGTGCTCGCGCCGGCGCAGGTTGGGCCCGCGGTTTGGCCCGGAGTGAATGAGAGGGTGGTGCCCCCGCCGCTAGCCTCTTCGCGGGCTAGACGGGACTCAATGGCGGCGTAGACGGAGTTGGTATAGGCGTCGCCAAGTGTCGCGGTTGCCCAGCGCTCGTCCCCCCAGGTGCCGATGGGGGCGGCCGTCTGGCTGCCGACCACGACCGTGGAGGAGTCCGATCCACTGATCGAACAGCCGGTGATGGTCTCGCAGAGCGTGGTGGATGAGGTTGTGGTGCCGGCGGAGATGTAGTCGGTCGTCGTGCAAGCCTCGGCCGTCTGGGTTTCGCACTCAGGTTCCGACTCGGTGGTGAGCTGGTGGTCCTGTCCGATGGTGATGCGCGGCCAGGGGGGCAGGGTCCCGTGGATCGTGACGCCGGGGGGCAGCTGCAGGATGTTGATGGGTGGCGGTCCGGGGCCGTAGATTCCCGGCGGCAGGATCCAGTGCCAGGAGTTGATGTGCAGGTTCCCCCACGAGATGCAGAAGAAGAAGAACCAGGAGGTGCAGGGCACGTGGACCCCGTCATCGTCAGGCTCGGGCTCGTCGATCTCGTCTTCCTCCGGCACAATCTGGCCATACGGAGGCCAGGTTGTGAATGTGGGCAGCGGAGCCGGCGTGGCGGTGGATCCGGTCTTCCACGCGGTCACCAAAGAGCAGTCGACGGTTGCCACGGCCGTCGCAGGCCCCAGGAAAGTCAAGACCCGCGTGGTCGGGCACGCGAAGCTCAGGGTCAGATCAACCGACTCGGTACAGGTCGTGGCGACGGCAACGGGCGGCGTGGCGAAGACGATGGACGTGGTGGCCGGACAGTCGATGGTGATGGCTCCGGTCGAGCCCGGGAACGTTACGGTAGTTACCGTCGCGCTGGGCACCGTGATGGTGGTTCCAACCGGAGTGAAGTAGGTCGTACTGGTGGGGAGCCCCGTGCTGCCGCCGCTGCTGGAGGACACGGTGGCTGGGTCGGTATACACGACCGAGGGACCCCCGTCGATCTGGGGCCAGGGCGGAATGGAGACTGTGCGGGTGGTCGAGCTGCCATCCCCGTCTGGCAGCGTCAGAACCACCGGTGGGACGTCCACGCTGGGAAAGATGGTGATGGGCATTTCCCCCGACGTGGACACATTGACGTTGGAGAAGCCGATGCCGTCGGTCACAATCGGGGGCACTGAGATGGTGACCGTGGTGGTGGTCGTGACAAAGGCCGTGGTGGCAACCCCTCCGACGGTGGTGCTGGAGAAGCCGCCATACTCCAGCGAGGTGATATAGCTCCGGGGCTGGATGGTGGTGGAGGAGCCCAATGAGGTCGTCGGGATGACGAGCATGCACGACTGGGCTGGACAGCTCACCGTCGGCGCCTCCCACACTTCGGTACCGATCCAGACGATATCAACATTGTCCGCCCCCGGCAGCGGCACCCACACGCTGATCTCGGTGGTGAAACCGCGCTGGTTGCCCTGCTGCGGGACGTTGGTGTCGTCGATGCCGCTGGCGATGTTGACCGTCGCGACGGTGAACAGGTTGAAAATCACCACCCCGGTCGAGCCCTTGACCTCGAGGATGCGGTCCTGGCAGTTGTTGGTCGGGATACAGTCCTGATAGTACTCGTTGAAGAAGCTGTACAGGCCCGCCGAGTGGATCGTGACGTCCGTCGAGTCCACGATCTGCAGGCCCCAGGCATAGTTGCACCGGTCATCCCACACGGCGGCCTCGACCTCGCAGTGGCTGAAGTCGGGGTCGTTAGGAAAGCTGGCGGCGGCGCGGAATGGCGCCGGAGGCTTGGGGTTGGGCTGATAATACGGCGACTCGGTCTGGATGTGGCCCATATACACGCTCTGCGCTTCGCTGATCAGATAGTTATACAGCACCGCATGCTCAGAGCCGCCGCCGTAGAACCACGACGGGCCGCCGGACTCGATGAGCATGCCGCGCGCCGCAAAGATGGAGATCTGCGTGGAGCTGGAGTCTGGCTGGTTGTAGATCGACTTGTCGTTGTCGTGGTCGCTCACCCACGCCCACACGTTCTCAAAGTAGCCGTTGGCCTGGGATGTCACCCGGAACAGCAGCGACGCCGCCACGCACTCGGCCTTGTTGCTGAACTTGGGGCAGGTGCTGAGGTCCAGATCCGTGCCCAGCGCGCCGCCGACCCGGAAGTGCGAATCCCACATGGCGGCGGCCCCCTGTGACACCGCGGCCACGTTCCACTCCATCAGGATGGCACCGGCAGTGGCGCCGCGCACGGAGAACAGCATCTCAGTGATCTCCATGGTGCCGACGTCGCCCTTGTTGCCGACCTGGACCATGACCTTAGGGCTCTGGATGTCGCTGAAGTAGAAGCCGGATCCCAGAATCTGCGACCACAGCGAGCCCTGCACGACGGAGTTGGTCGGGATGTAGACCGTCGATCCCACCGCATACACTCCGGCCGGAAAGTACGCAACCTGGCCACTATCGACCGCCCGCCGGAGGAAGGCGTTGATGCACGAGGCTTGGTCGCCGCTCGCGTCGTTCTTGCATCCGCCGTCGGTGGTCGCCACCAGGAACGAGCCGGCGCCGTGGGTCTCGTACTGCGGTCGGGAGCGCACATACAGGAAGCCATCGTCGTCGTTGAGGCCCTCGCCACGACCCGGGGCCGTCACGGTGCCGGTCTGGGTGGCGCCGTTGTCCCCCTTGTACCGCTTGCCCGTGGCCCAGAGACTCGCCTCGCCCGATGACAGGAGGGTGTCGCCCCCGCCAACCACCTGGACCGGGCTGGCCACATTGTCGAACCGGGTGTTGTCCAGCACAATGTTGGGTGAGGTCGCGAGGCTGTTGGTCAGGACGCCAATCTCCACGTCGCGGATGGTCGAATCAATGATCGATACGCTGCCGATGCCCTGACCCGTGTCGCCGCCCACCCCGGAAATGTTGAAGGCGATGGCGCCGCCATTGACCATAATCTGCTGCCAGTTCCAGCCCCAGTCCCAGACCATCTGCACGGCGGTATTGCACTGGTTGAACACCAGGTTGCGAGCGGTGTACTGCTGCGAGCCGGCGCGCCAACCGATGTTGCCGCCGTTGAACTCGAGGTCCGACACGAAGCCCCCGCTGCCGTTCTCGGTGAAGATGCCCACGGCCGTCGTGGTGCTCGTGGTCGGCATGTCGAACACCAGATTCTGCAGGGAGGTGGCCTGGGACACCTGCCAGTGGATGCCCGTCGGCACCAGGTCCTGGTCGTTCTCCGCCGTCGACTCGGGCATCTCGGTCAGGTCGAAGCGGAAGTTGCGAATCTGCCGGAAGAACTGGTTCTGGTTGATGTACCATTGCTGGCCGGAGCCGCCGGGGATGTACGGATCCACGTCGATCAAGCCGATGCCCTGGAACTCGTCGCAGCCCTTGATGATGGGCATGTCGTTGGGGTCCCCGACGAACTGCGTGTAGTAATACTGGATCACGGGCGTGCAGATCTTGTAGGTGCCGCCTGGGAAGTACACAATGGCCCCCTGCGAGAAGGTATTGCCACACTTCTCGCCGCAGCGCGTGCGCGAGTCACCGACCAGGTCCTTGTTCCAACTGGCTGACGCCGCGTTGAGGGCCTCCGTCGTGTCGGTCTCGCCCGAGTTGTCGGCGCCAAAGTCGTCCACAACATTGCGGAAGAACTGGTAGTCATCGCCCCCAGCATATGGTTGCTGTTGGTTTTGATTTTTATCAGAGTCACGTCTATATCCATGGCGGGGGCGCAAAAGCTTACAGTGCCCAAAGGTCCCAGGTTGGAGAGCCAAAAGTCAGACGATTGGCGTTTGCGGCCCGCAGACTGGAAGCGTGTCCGCCTGGTCTCGTTGGATTCGGTATAGCCACCGCGGAGGACCACCCCGCGCTGCAGGTTGGTCAAGTACTTTTCCAGGCTGCCTGAGTAGGACCATACGGGGCCATTCTGCCTCCCTTTGTCCGGTGCGGTTTTGTAGTAGTTGTGCTGGTTGTCCACCATGTATGGCGGCGCCGGCTATTGCAGCCACGCAGTCAGTCAATCATACTCGGACAGGGCAGAAGTGTTATGACATACCCGGGGGTCATAAGCGAGTGTTGTGGTGTTTAGGCCGCGAGGTGGAATCGTGCTGGACGATAGAACGATCCTCCCTTGGGCGGCCAGCAACGTCAAGAAAAGAATAAGTAGTGCCGCCATGGTGCTCTACCACTCCAGTCCCGATAATAGGAGTCTGTAGAGGAGAAGTGCTTGGTGACTGGGAGAAAAAAAAAAAGGACAGGCCTCTGGGGGTTGGGGGCACCCTGCATCATTCATTTCACCAGAGACCACAGCCGACATAGGACCTGGCACTGCCATCATTATCGATATAGAGACTAGCCTCTATCCCAAATCATCCTAATATATTTAATACACTATATTTAATATACTTAATATATTTAATATGCGTATTCCGCCCTTGCCGCATCCTTCCTCTGCCTGGTTCTCCGAATACGGAAACTATCGTGAGGGCCAGGGGTTGTGGCATTGATCCCATAGCACTACCAGGTCTCATTCGCGAACGTACCATTAAGCCCCAGTAAGCTGTCGCCAGGATTCAGAGCTCGTTTAATCTCCGTGCACCGATGTAACCGTATCGGACAGGGGTATATCTCAATGCCGTAAGAGCCTTGGGGGAGCCATGCTAACTATTTTAGTCCCTGGACCGTGGCGGCGACTGAAGCTCTTCCTATATATCCGAGTTGGATGTGTGAGCCGCATACCCGATATCTCCATGTGTTATGTCCATGTGTCTTGCTGCATAGCCAGGGCCGAAGTGATTATAAGTTACTTTGCCCTCCAGCGTCTGCGTTTCTGAGTTTCCAGCCATCCTCACCAAAACAGAAATCCTGAGCCCTCTCGGACTCATTCCAAACCCGTTCTTATCGCTTAAGATGCTCTCTCCTCTCGTCCACCTTGTCTCGCTGGCACTCTCGGGCGGCGCCATGGCAGCCCCTGCCCCGGCCTCCGTCCATGGTCTCACCCCTCGCACCTGCTACGAGACGGAGACGTCAAGCCTGCGCTGTTACACGGCGCCCGACAATATTCCGCAGGATGTCCTTGTCGACGACGTCCTCTTCATCGCGGCCTACCTTCGATCGTATGGAGCGCAGATCCGAACGGGCCGCCTGTTCAACATGGCCGCCGCCGACGCGCCCGACTGCGGTGAATGGCTTCTGTACGCCCATGGCACCGCGCAGGCCTTCGCCAAACACCTCGACAACACCGTCGACTCAAGTGTGCTCTTCGCCGACATCGCCACCACCATCGACGGCGGCGCCAACGCCAACTCGACCCAGCAGGCGGCGGCCCTCATCGGGTGCGGCACAGACGGCGGATCGTTGGGCGTGGCTGTCGACGCCACGAACCCAACTTATGCGGGCTCTACCTACCCGGCCGGTTATGTCACCGATGGCATTCTCGTCAAGATTGTGGCTTCGGGGGCGTAGCACTCGGAGTCTGTACAAAGCTTGGGCTCTCGCAGGGAAATCCCCCCCAAAATTCAGAGATAGATAGATAATAATTCAATGATGTCTCGTCTTACCATTTCCATCCTTCTCATAACTCCTAGTACTTTGTAATAATTTAGGCCTTTATGTTTCTGTGTTCCCCCGCTAAATGTGCAGGGAACGGAATCCCTGTCAGAGGAGTTACGGTCGTTCCTGCGTTGCTCCGGCGCGCTCCGGTGTTTACGTAGTTCAAAAACACTCCAGGGCTCAACGATAGCGCACACGCTATCGTTCAGACATCCGTGTAGGCACCTCGCTTATTCTCCTCCCCCAATTAACTTACTTGTATGCTATCCCGGAAGTAGAAAGATCAATGCTTGGTATAGCTCACCGGAGATTATTCCTCAGGCCGCCGAAATCTCGCCACCTCGTAGCGAGTTCCCTCGCGGCATTTTTGCCGGTCCTTCTTGGGGATGGCTTCTCGTCGGGTTACATCCGGCTGCTTAACACCGAGCGCCATCTACCGACACTTCAGTTCATGAACGAGGTGATGAGCGTGTCTGCCTGGACCCATCCGATCTTGCTGCCAACTGCGGTTCTCTTCTCCCTCCCCCGCTCTCTCTCCGCCCTGTCTTCCCATTGTTCGTCATACCAGAATCCATCCACGCCGGGAACATCTGAGCTGAGATTGCGTCTTGAGATTCGACCCAATGGCGAAATGTTCCTTTCTTCTGGGCCTGATGACGGGTCTCCTCGTGCTCTTGTCCCGCACCATTGCAGTGGAAATGAATGATATCTTTACCGTTCAGCCCGGGACGAGGGACGGCGGCTGCGATGACCGAGCGGCTGTCTTGGACCAGTGGCTGGAGGAATGTATCCAGAGTATTTATGTTACTCTGCAAGCCATGGACCAGTATGAGCAACAGACGAAAGTTCGAAGGGCATTGTCGACCATCTTTGGCATCGCAAACAGGAACCGAATGGGGGGTCGGGAAACGGCCAGGGGTTCCGCTTTTTTTAGGATCAAAGGTACGTGTGGGCCATTCTTCTTTTCCTTCTACGTGTCGCTGCACTATCATCTCTGCATCATTGTTGCTCCCAGCTCCAAAGGCGCACCAGCCAACTGACGGGGTGGCCAGACTATATCGAGTATGTCGGAGACTTTTTCAACAATCAGAAGGGGGATAACGGCCAAAGTATATATCCAAGATCCAGATTCCGGTTGTTTTGCGACAGCACCTTTCTGGCTCTGCATCAACCAACTGACCCCGCATCCGATTACAAGGGCGAACCCATCTTGGACGGCAATGGCGACCCTGTTCCCATCCAGGATGTAGCGGAATACCAAAGGAGACTGGACGAAGACCCGAATAATGAACCATGGTGGTCTGGGGACCTCACGGACCTGAACGGCTACTACTTCACTGAGTACGGCGGGAATTACTGCTATGAAGACGACCTCGGCGTCACCGCGGGAATTGAACCGCTCGGAAACGGCGAGGCGGACCCAGAGATCACGAGCGTCATCCTTTGCCCCTACAGCTTCGACGGCGGGCAGAGGCCGGCCAGCTACCAGGACGCGAACAATCTCCTCCGCGCCGGTACAAACCTTGCGGATGCCGTTCCCAAGAGCGCGACCCTTCTTCACGAGGCCTTTCACGCTATCTTTGGAGGTATATTTCTGGGAGGCGTTGAAGAGCGCTGTACGTTGCCCGCTAACCCATCTTTCTAATGATGATCTGCCGACTGACTGACTCTGGACTTGGTAGATGACATCGCCACCTGTCTCAACCTTGCGAGTGCAGACCCTGGATCGGCACGGCTCAACCCCGAGAACTACGTCTTCTTCATCGCTCACATGTACCACATGTTTGGAGCTGAGGAGGGCAATGAACCCTGGTCGATACACACCCAGTGGAACTTTGAAATCGTGGGTCAAGATCGGGTTTACGGGGCCGTGGAAACTGAGCAAGGGGGACTCTAGTGCCTGATCCTGGAGTAGATAAAAGAAAAAAGAAAGATGTGTTGACATTGTTCAGTTGAGTTATATAGTAGGTAGTAGGGAGGTCGTTATCAGCCTTTTTCTTTGACAATAACTACAGGAGCTTTCCGTACGGGTCGCAGTCATCATATGTTAAACCTTTGCATCCCAGCTTCCCCAAGGCGACCTAACTCTCACCCGCTGGTCGTTCTCATCCCCTGGTGACTCAGAAGTAGTTCTCTGGAAGGGCTTTCAGGCACTCGTGTCTCGGGGCTGGTGAATTGATCGTAACAACGAGTAAAGTAGCTGCTTTGATAAGGGAATGAAAAGTACTAAAAGCATACTCTATTATCATTGTCGCATGTAATCAATCCTGCCTGTATAGCTGGCCTGGAAGAGTGCTGGCCCAGACCAGATAAAACCATGAATTACTCAATTAGTCTTGACAGCTGTCAGTACCGGACCTTAGTACATCCGACAGGATGAGGGGTAAGTTTAAGGGTTGACTCTCGCTTCGCTGGTGAACGGTGAACGGTTTCTTTATGGGACGCGATCGGGCAGGTGGTAACCCCTTCCCCACCCTGGCGCGGTGCCCTTATCCGACACTGCTCCTGTCTCATCCCCACGCGCCAGAAATTATATATTTTTTTTTCCACCTCAGGAGCGTGTACCTTGTTTTCACGACGCGAACGGCAGCTGAAATTTATTAGATTCTCTGGCGATGTAACATCGCGTTGGTTGGGTGGACTTCCTGCTAGGGAGCTCTGAGGGTTCATTTCGCCCGCCAGGACTACAGGAATTTGTTCATGAACGAATCAGATCAAGGCATGGGATTTGAGGAATGTTGGCGGAGAATAACAGTGGCGAAATGACAGATTCACTGAGTCTAATTACGCGGCCATATGTAGAAGCCTTAAGGGTCTTATTTAGTTCTAATTGGTAGCGCATACACATTATCAGTCATGTCGGGCCTAGATCGATGAACAGCATCCTTCCGGCGGGCAGTAATACCCCGAAACCTGCCATTCTTTCTGAAAATGATGGGTACAGTGGGGTGCAAAAAGTATTCGACCACCTACCTACTAGGCGGTATAGGTAGGTGGTCGAATACTTTTTGCACCCCACTGTATTAACCACAGTTGGGTTTAAATCTCGAACCCTTGTGTTATGAAACTACCTTAGCGCCCATTGAGAGGGAGCCTTGTTGCATTTTAATACGTGTGACAAGTTTTGCAGGGACTAATTTAATCACCGGATCACCAAGGAAGGTATAAACCAATGAGGAAATGGATAGACCATATCCAACATAGCAACGAGTGAGAATTTTACAATTGGCAGATGCCAAATCTCTTGGCAGACCCATTCCCCGTGCTAGACCCAGATAGGTATAGCCCGTCTGCCTGACCTCCCCGACTGAACGGTGATCTGAGTTGGCATTCATCGCGGGTCAAGAAACAAGGCCACCCCGATTCACTACCTGAGTGCCCTCACAACATGGCTCGAACGAAGCAAACAGCAAGGCGCAGCACGCCACCTTTGATAACATGGACGCGGTTTCATCTCCCACTAGAGCAGGAGTTGCCAACATGGCCTGTGGACCACGTTAATGTCTACCACGGCCCACTTGAGGGTGTCCCTGGTAAAGGCAAGGTGTCACTAGGGAGAATGGTTGAAAACCCCGAGCAGGCTACCTATATTATTGGTAAGTGCTATCGACATTCTATATAAATCGCATATTCTTTATATCCTAACTTGTGTTGCTCAAACCACCCAGAATGGGCTACACTAGATGACTTGAAGAACTTCCAGTCCTCCCCCGCCTGCGCGGAGTTTCTGCGGAACCTCCCGGAACACAGGAACTCACAGGTCTCTGTCGAGTCCAGCGCAGCTCTGAGACACCTAACCGTGGAGGATAGCTCCTTGTTGTCCCCGCCGGCGTCGTCACGCTTTCTTGCTTTTCAACGCGCCACTCAGACTCCAACAGAGGAGGTGAAGGGCCGTGTGACTGTTACCATCTTCGTGGTACCGCACCAAGTTGACGATGCGTATCATAAATTTCGCAATGTATTTAACTGCTTTTGCCCCCGCGGCTCTAGGTTTATTGCAAGCCCTCGGTATTCCTGGACTAGGACCGCAAACGTTTGGTTCCGGGTACTTGCAGAAGACCGCTGGGTAGAAGAGAAATTTGGGAGGCTAGAGCCAACACAGGAAGATAGCCTGGGTCGGACAATCTTCTGCCACTTTTTGATCTGGCCACTTAGGCTGGGTGCCACTCGAGAGGATGAAGAGGCATCGGTAGCAAACCCGGAGGCAATAGAGTCATGGAATCAACATATAGCACAGGTGATGCCTCCAGCAACAACCTGGGAACAGGAGCGTTGGGATATTCGGGATGTGCCATTTTTTGACCCCTTTGAGGATGAGTACGATCCTGAGTTGACTCCAGAGCAGCTTGAGGAGGAAAAAGAGCAAAGAAGACTCCAGAAGGAATATAGTCAACTCCATCCCCCTGAATTTGATGAATGGCTCAACCCTGTGGGGCGGCGGTAATTTTAGTTAGTTGCCTTTTGCGTGTGTTATGCTTGAACACGGTGATTTCAAACAGTCTTTTGAGCATTTACTTTGTTTCTGCTACTAAGGAAATATGGAAGGGCTTCAATATGCTTCTCAGGAACGGAGAGCCTGCAGTTGCTTCTAGTAGGTCAATGTGATGGTTCTGAATTGATTATTTTATCTATCCCTGCATCCCCACTCTCTGGGAGGGCCGTGTGTAAGTGGCCGGATACATATTCACTGGGATAGCCTATAAAACAGGAAAAACTTATTAACCAGAGAGTAAATCGGAACATTCTTCTTCATTCTCGCTGATTGGATCAACATTATCAATTGGGGTTGCCGTATCTTCATTTGCTAATTGGATCGCATGGTCCGAGAAGTATTCCTTGAGTATCGCGTGCTGTTCTTCCTGAACTTCGAACCTGGAGGTACACTTGAACATCATGAGATCCTGGATTGTCTGGGGGTTCAGGGAGCCTCGGCGATAGTGACAGATATCTCAGGCAGAGTTGAAAAGCCGCTCTACACCTGCACCCGTTGCAGAAATCGAAAGGACATCCCTTGCAAGTCTCGCCAGCGCGGGGAAGTCGTGTTGATGATCCTTCCAGAAGATCCGCGGAGGGGAGCGAACAATGCCTAGAACATAAATTAGATGTAGTATTTTCGAAGCCCGCATGGTACACACCACTCTCAAGGTACTGTGCAAGCTCATCGCGCTGGTCAGATAGTGATGGCTGGGAGTCTTCTGGCATACAGCTCACTTCAAGTTCCGAGAGCGTAATAGCGCATTTGTCTGCCTTTGATCGTGACTGGATGTCTGATAAATCTTTTTTGTAGGGCTCCAGATAATCTTCAAGGCTCTTGCGATAGCGTGTGAGCCAATCTTGATCCGGATCTTCCCATTCCTTGGTTGAAAAATCTTCAGCTTGTTCTGGGGTGCGATGATAGTACCAATTGCATAGAGATCACCGGGGATATCATCAGTCATAGCATAGCAATGTGAAAGCTTGGACTTCGCTGCTTCAAGGGCCTTGAGCACCAGCTGTTTCCACAAAACTCTCTTCCGCCGAAGAGCATCCATTGACTTTTCAAGGTGGTCAAACAGCTTATTATAGATGCTAAAGACCAGGTGGATGCTGACATCCCTCGTCTGAGATAGAAGGGTAGTGAACCTGAATAAGGGCTGGGTGATGCAGAGAAGGTACTCAATGTGCCGCCACTCCTCGTGATCGAGCGTTAAATGAGGGAGAGCATACTGCGACTCTGAGCAGAACGCATTATATGTTGATTGCAGTCGTTTCGCCCGCTGAAGCATTAAAAACGTGGAATTCCAGCGAGTTTTAACATCCTGGATTGGCATCAGCTTTGGGTCTTTGGTTTGGAGGCTGCAGAATGTTTCCCAGCGCTGAGGGCTTGCGTTGATAAAGATAGCTAATTTCCGAATCTCGTAAAGAAGTTAGTAAACGGATATTTCCCCAGGGAACCCTTCCTACCTTATTCAGGGTATTAGCAATCGCTGTATTTTGGTGTCGAGAATCAAGGAAACCGCTGCATGTATCTGACCAGTCTGTCTGTATGGTCTCATTCTTCGGATTTGCTTTCATCAGCCCCAGCAGGTCGTTTAGGTTATGTTGAATGATATGCGCAATGCATGGAATTCGAATAATAGCAGCGTTACCCACACCAAGTGACTGGACTGATTCCTGGATGCTTGACATCAAGGTGTTGTTGTTCGATGCATTATCCGTGGTGATTGCCAGGACCCGATGAGCGATCTGGTGTTGTTGGAGTAATTCAAAGAGAAGCGAGCCCAGATTGACGCCAGAGTGGGCGCCATGGAGCGGCACAAACCCCAGCAGGATCTCATGAAACTCCCCATTCCTGGTCTAGAAAGTAGCCCGTCACGGCCATAAACGCCTGTTGGAACGGCGAGGTCCAACAGTCCAATGCAATTGATAGCTTTGCCCTTGGAGGTAGTTTCTGAAGCAGTGTTTGTTGCTGCTCCTCAACAAAGTCTCGTAGTCGCCGTCGAATCGTCTTCGACGAAGGAAAGTGGGGTGGTACTGGGGCAAGTCGAGCAAAATTAATAACGTCGTGGGAGTCAGGACGCTCAATAAATTGGAAAGGAAGTTGCGATATAGTCAGAAACTTAAGCAGCTTGTGCTCCCATACTTCTTGGGTGAAGACGACCTCAGACTTCTTAGAGGCTTTGTGTGCCTATTAATGTAGAAGGGGGTGAGTTTTGGCAGGTTATTCAGGAGGACTATCTCACATACCGCACGCTGTATCGACGCTAGAATGTTGGTCGTTCTGCCTGTGGACTTTCGACAACACGGCCCATTAATATGCTTATTCATTGAGGATGTTCCAGTGTGGCCAGATGCAGGATGATCAAGGACGGCGCGACAGTGGGTACACATGACCCCCGGCTTCCCTGTCTTCCCGTGGGCGACTTGTTCAAACTGCTCCCAGCACTTTGCATGGTGCCTGCCATCCCAGTAGATACGTTTCTTCTTGCCAAAGTCCGTCTCAAGCCACCAGGCAACAAACGCGTCCTTGGACATCTCGGAATAGAGAATGTATGCTTTAGTCCGGTCGGGACCTACGCGCTCTAGGGACTCAGGAATGGGTAGAAGGGGCCCAGGCCAAGCAAAGTCAGTGTCAGATGAAGAGAAGATCGTCTGTTGACTGCAGGAAGGATCGGGCGTATACAATCCTTGTACGTCCTGAGGGAAGTCAAAGGCTGGATACTCTATTTGATCCCCATCAGGGACAGAAGAGGGATAAGCATCAGAAGCCTGGCCTTGACTCGCCATGGCAAGACAGCAATAGCTACACCTGAGAAGAGATTAGGGCTTAGAAGAAAAATTTGCGAGATCTGGGATAGAAGTCAGCTGTTGAAGAGGGGGCATCCATGAAATATTGATAGATCACAAGCGCACCCACATGTGCAGTTGCAATTGGTCCATATATGCTGGTGACCCTCAAACAGAGCCTCAACACCTGTTAAGTGAGAATAGATGGATTGATTGTTCAACTTCTAGAGTTATCTTTTACAGGGCGGGATGCCTCATATATATACTGTTCCCAATCCCTGCCATAAGGTTCAGCCACCGTGATACTCAACAACACCCTCGATTCTTGAGGTTCACCCTCAGGGTCACCCGTTTCAGTTGGATACTTGTGGTCATCGGGCGCCCTCGTTCGCAGTGATATCAAGAGCCGTACCTCGATTTTTAAGTCAGCGTCGGTGGTTAAAAACAAGTATATCTGGCATAAGATTAAAGAGAGGTAAATCCCAGCCTGTTTTACTCAATATTCTGCAATTCGATGTGCGGATGTTGTGTAAGCCCGAAATATATCCACGAAGCTTGACCTTGATTATATATTTCCACCTCATATTTCCCCATCTATACACTATATCCATGCTGGGATCCTTCCCAGGTCACCATGACCAAACTAAAATCCCGCAAAACTACAGAAATGGATAATTCCACAGCGAAGATAATAGGATACCATGTGATTTCATTGGATTTCGCCGATGGCGTCGTTGAAAATGCTGGATACGCGGGCACAAGACCAAAACAGCTGTAAATAACCGTATTTTTAAGGATGAGTCAACGGTGGTTATGCATCCTAAAAGGGTGAATTATGCAAAAATTTCATCTTGGCGGGTGCGGGAGGGTCCATTGAGGGTGAACCTCAGAGGTTCCCCCGAGGGTGGAAGGCCTTGAGGGTCGGGTGGAGGTGCTGGCCTCCGGAACCTCAAGCGGGTGGAGGTTCCAACCTGCTCACCCGTTTTAAGGTTCTGCCGAGGTCTACCTGTTAATATATCGACTAATGTATCGCTTTACCTACCCTGGTGCCCTTTTTAGCGTCTGGTAAATGACATGTCCCAGGATTTGGATGCTCGAACAAATCTCCCTAGTTGGGAAAGGAAGAAGGTCGCAGGGTTACATCGCATTTAGCCGGTCTTAGCTAGTGGCTGTAGTGGTTCTTAACTCGGGCACTAACTGACAGCTAGTCATAAATTTCTGATCCGGTTGGTTTGCGAGGGCTAGAGGCGATGATCCTGTGGGTCATGCAGTTGGGTCTAAATGTCAACCAACCCCACTAAGCTCCACTATAAATTCCTTCGTTTGACCTAGGCCACTGTGTGGACTGGGTGACTCGTTCAGGGATCCTTACCTGTCTGGACAAAAGTCTCGTTGTCCCTAGTCCCTGTAGGCTGAGACAATCTCTGAGCTGCTGGCCCAGTCTTCTGTCTGAGGGAGGTTCGGTGTTCTGCTTACCTTCCCCCAGGTATCCCACTTACCATTCTCGCCATTTTCAGCATTCTCACCATGCACCATCATGGAACAGCTGGTGTTCCCTTCGGCGGATGATATTCGCAGTCGCCATTGGCGCTTGCGGTATTTTTATCTACTTGATATGGTTTGGGATGAATTCAGACCGTGATAATATCCCCCCGCTCCTCACACAACTTATCCATCTACTTCATTTCAATGCGCCGACTGCCTCACCTGTCTCGCCTCACCATCGCCATCGGAACCAGAACATCTTGCAACTTGGAGTTTCCAGTACGGACGAGACGACCAGAACCTAGGCCTGAACCAGAGTCAGTGCCAGGCAGCATTCCCCGGTCTCTTCTGATTGGGGAGCCGCAATAAGTGTATGGTAATGTACTATTACTACCTTTTTCGTATCCTTTCATTAATTCCTGCACTTGCGCACGACCATGCTTTCATGTCCTCCTTACAAATGATCTAATTTTCAGGCCACAGTAAGAATACAGTCAGCTACACGCCAGCTTAATATAATGATACAATGTACCTACAGTAATTAGGGCTAATCTCTCTACACACCACTGCCACTCTCCCTTAGTAATATAATACTATTTATCTTAGTGCAGAAATCTGTTATTAACTAATACTAATACAGCTAGGATTAAAGCTGTTATATCATAATTTCCTACCTAAAATATGACTTGTACT